CTGATAGGGGCCTGTTGTTCCAGTGTGATCTCTCTGATTAACCTCTCTGATAGGAGCCTGTTCTTCCAGTGTGATCTCTCTGATTAACCTCTCTGATAGGGGCCTGTTGTTCCAGTGTGATCTCTCTGATAGGGGCCTGTTGTTCCAGTGTGATCTCTCTGATAGGGGCCTGTTCTTCCAGTGTGATCTCTCTGATTAACCTCTCTGATAGGAGCCTGTTCTTCCAGTGTCACCTTTAGCGGAGTTGGCAAAAAACAGATCTTTCTGGTTTTCAGGGATACAATGTTTTCAACCTAACTTCCGTTTCCCCTGCTACATTAGGTTATTCCGGTGTTGGTTTATCAGCCATGCAGGGAGGGACCGCCACTCAAGCATCCAGTCACACACACCCTGTCCCGGCCTGCCTGGCTGGCACACAAATAACTAAATTGCTGGTTCTAGATTCACACAGTCACAGGGACATGCATGCAGGCAGGCATGTGCGCGCACACACACACACACACACACACACACACACTCTACGCTACGCGACATGAGGTCTTAGAATGAGGGCTTGTAGTTGATTTTTCCCACACATTCAATAGTACTGAAATCTACGTTTATCCTTCTCCCCCTGGTTAGTGGTTACACATTCTCTCTACTGCATCCATCACACATCCTAACCACTGAGTTTTATCTTTGACACACACACACACAATCATCAACTGAAACGGAATCAAAAATATACTCAACAAAAATAAAAACGCAATGCAATAAAAAAAACATGCAATAATTTCATTGATTTTTACTGAGTTACAGTTCATATGAGGAAATCAGTCAATTGAAATACATTCATTAGGCCCTAATCTATGGATTTCACATGACTGGGAATACAGATATGTATCTGTTGGTCACAGATACCTTTAAAAAAAATGGGGCTCACAATGGGCCTCAGGATCTCGTCACGGTATTTTTGTACATTCAAATGCAATTGTGTTCGTTGTCCGTAGCTTATGCTTGCCCATACCATAACCCTACCGCCACCATGGGGCACTCTGTTCACAACGTTGACATCAGCAAACCGCTCACCCACACAATGCCATACATGTGGTTTGTGGTTGTGAGGCCGGTTTGACGTACTGCCAAATTCTCTTCAATTACGTTGGAGGCGGCTTATGGTCGAGAAATGAACATTAAATTATCTGGCAACAGCTCTGGTGGACATTCCTGCAGTCAGCATGCCAATTGCACGCTCCCTCAAAATTGAGACATCTGTGGCATTGTGTTGTGTGACAAAACTGCACATTTTAGAGGGTCCTTTTATTGCCCCAGCACAAGGTGCACCTGTGTAATGATCATGCTGTTTAATAATCTTCTTTATATGCCACACCTGTCAGGTGGATGGATTATCTTGGCAAAGGAAAAATGCACATTTGTGCACAAAATTTGAGAGAAATAAGCTTTTTGTGCGTATGGAACATTTCTGGGATCTTTTATTTCAGCTCATGAAACATGGGACCAACAACCATCTGTGTCTACCTGTGAATTTACGGTCATCGCTGATGAGAATATGAATCCTATGAATACACCCTGTCCTTCTCAAAATGGAGCCCTGAGGTTTGTGTTTGCACCGAAATACCCTTTATCAACACAGCACCCAGGGGCAGAATATTTCAGGCGTCTAATTCTGTCGCTAAATTAGTTGTTAAAATAAATAAACACCTTTCCATCAAGCAGACTAACAAACCTGGACACATGGAGGAGGGAACCCAGAGGCCTGGGCTGTGTTAGGCACCAAATAGAATAACATTTACTGAAACAGGTAGGGACTGTGGGACTTCTTATTGGATTTGCCCAATAAGAAACACTGAATTTTAGTTTCCATTGCAAAACGTTTTAAAACATTTTCCGTTGCATGCCCTAATGAACACAGCCCTGATCTACTGAGCACTGAACTGACCCCAGAATAGACTAACTTGCTGTTTATTATTAGATATAGAAGCCATACAGACATACTGTATAAGGGAGAAAGCTAATATACAAATTAGAAAACTAGAAAATATATAATTCATGGGGGAAGAATAGAAGAATCCCTAACGTATAAAGACACATGATGATTGACTGAACAATCCCATGGAGATGTCTCCCTTGGAAATGACATGTCTTAGATAAAGCAGATAAAGGCTTACTACACCGTGTAAAAGACAACAGCTGTGATTCCAATAGTCTATCAAAACCTTGCAAATTGAAGTCAAAGGGTCAAACAACATAATTTGTTTATTCTTCCTGCTTTATCAGGAAGTTGAGGACACATTTAGGTAGTCCAACAGTGAAGTGAGGGCAAGTGACCTTACAAATCCACCTCTCACGTATCACACGTTCCTCACTGGTGCTATACCATCCCACCAATACTCCCATCTCTGACTACCACCCTTACACTAGGAGAGAGAGAGACAAGGAGGCTGGGCCTATTTTAAAATGCTGGTTTGCGGTTGGGCTCAACAAGGAAATATATACCCTGTGGTTTACGCAGCTTCTTTGGGATACTTGGAACTTGACATTTTGGAACTATTCCTGACATAGCAACTTCCTGTTGGTAGCATTTACACAACACACACACACACACACAGACTTACATAATGCTGGCCTCCTCGAAGACTCGTTGTGTAAAACATTCTGGACCGAGGTTGTGTAAAGGCAACCATCAGCCTATCAGAGAAGAGAATTTGATGGTGTCACTCTAGCAGAAACATGTGACTCTAAATGTGAATGATTTGATGATTAGGTTAATTTATTTATTTATTCATTAATTCATTCAGGACACATAATACATCTTGAATGTACAGGACATATACACTCTCATTTTTTTATTATTTGAATGGTTAAATTGATTAACAAATTCAAAGGACAGACACATATTCTTCTTTCACGTGAAAGATATTACCCCAGTATTTCCTTTTGTTTCTGTGATAAAAGGTTTGGATATACCTGTTTTTGATATTAAGATGGATTCCTATCTCTCCTCCCTGTAGAGACAACAGTACCATGCTGTCAATACAGAATATGGATGATGGAATACTTTTTTAATAGTTGAACCCATTAAGAATGTGTAGGACATAATTTACAGTTATTCAACCTGGATGTTTTTGTTTGAAAGATTACTCAGATCCACCCACTGTTGACTGTTCTCCCATATTGTACATAATGTACTTTTATTCATGTGATCTATTGTGAAAAATGAAGGATACAAACTGAACTGTTTCATCACTTTACAGTTTTATCAAGTGAGATTTGTCTCCCTGTGAGTTTATAGGAGATACAGTGGGTTGTGAGAAGAGACTGTCTTTGTTACATGTGACTACATTTCAGCTCTATTGGTACAAGAGATTTGTGGGATTATGTACAACAGTGAAATTATAGAGAAATTATACACAGACAGTATCTGAAAACAGATCATTATTTCCCAACAACACCATTTAAAATACATGCACACCCCAAACTATGTTTATAGTTAAATCAAAATGCAATCAAACAATTGTGCGCGTCAGCATTTCTGAGTGAGCAGGAAAATTCTTAAAACATGAACGAGAGAGAGAGAGAAGAAATGTGGGAGGGAAGGAGGGAAGGAGGGAGGCAGGACAAGAAAGCGAGAGATTGAGCAGGGACCTCATCTAGCAGGTACACTTACTTGTTCACTCAGTCACTCTCTCCTCTCCCGGTCTGGGACGTCTAGGACTGCTGTGTCTGTAGCTTTCTAACAGGTGAGAAGCTCTCATTCTCCTTTTATTCCCTTTTTATTGACCTTGCAGTGCTTTTGATTTATAATTCAAATACAAATTGTAATTGAAATATATTAGTTTAGGTAATTTATGTTAATTTTACATGTTGGCTCTTATCTGATTGTGTCTTCTCATTCAGGGATTATCTCAGGTCGTTAAACATCAGCTTCTTTCTGGATTAGTTGGTCAAGGAATAAAACGTGATTTGATGAACATCAACCATGTCTGTGACTCAACTTTTTAAAATGATGTTTCATTCAAATGCAGAATTTTGTTCCAAACGTACTTATCCTAATTTATGATAAAGCTGTATTCTGTCTTCTGACATGTAATTACACTAAGAAAGTTATGGCTTCTGTGCAACTCGATGTAAAATGTCATCTAGTGTATTCTCATGTGTTTCAGTGGATACAGTGAACGTCTCAAATATTTGTGGAGTTATTTATTAAAGTTATAGTGCAATGCTGTCTGTCTGTCTGTCTGTCTGTCTATCTGTGTCTGTGTTGGGGTGAAATATGTTTCAGTAGCCCCAGGGTGATACTTGTACATATCTGAGGTTAGATTTTGAGAACTGAAATATTTATAGACTAATTATACGTGTATGTGAAATGCAATCATAGTTCTGTGGTTGAACTCCAGATTTTAATGTCTGGAACTACAAAGAGAAGATGTATAGAATGTTGGAAATCGAATAGTTTCTTTGTATCCTGCCCATATCAGACTGGTTTCTATCAGGTCCTCTTCATTGTATCTGTAAACTTTGGATTCAATTTATTTTGATATTGTTCAAGTGTATTTTGAGAGAGAGCGAAAGAGAGAAATGAACCTGTCCACTTACCTGTAGCCTACCTGTGTCTCCCAGCTCTGAATAGGAAAGAATAGCCCAACTCTGTCCAGATGATGCCAGAGTATTGGCCTGTTTGAAGATAGAAAGATAGAAAGATAGATAGAGAGATGGCTATCTATCTATCTATCTATCTATCTATCTATCTATCTATCTATCTATCTATCTATCTATCTATCTATCTATCTATCTATCTATCTATCTATCTATCTATCTATCTATCTATCTATCTATCTCTCTCTCTCTGTGTCTCTGTCTTCAAAATATTGAATTGGAATGAATCATCTCTCAATAAAATACTATTGATCACACTATAAAATCCACTCAACTAATAAACAACTGATTACTTTGTCAATTATGTTGATGACTCTACTAACCCAACTCTCTCTCTCTCCTAGACGACCCTCCATACACAGACATGATGCCTCGCATCTTCTTCATCTTGAGTTCTCTGCTCCTCCTCCCCTTATTCTCCTCCTCCTCCGAACCCCGCCGACAGTCGTCATCCTCACCACGCAGCAGGACCGCGCGTGCTCCCGCTTCCTCCGCCAAGGTGCGCCTGGCGGGAAACTTTGCCCAGGGACTGAACGAGGGTCGCGTGGAAGTGCTTCACAACAGCACGTGGGGGACGGTGTGTGATGACGAAGTGGACATCAAACTAGCCAAAGTGGTCTGCCGCGAGCTGGGCTTCCAGACCGGCATCACGTGGGCGCACAGTGCCAAATATGGCGAGGGTGATGGTACGTGTTCCAGAACAGTTGTTGCATTTCTGCAATGATCAAAATGTATCTTTATTTCTGTAATATAATACAGATAATATACTCTTTAAAATTGAAAGGTACATTAAAAGAAGACAGTCAGCTGTTGATTTCTATTCTTTTCCATATGGCTGTCAGATGTTAAAGGTCAGATGTTAAAGGGATAGTTCACCAACATTACAAAATGACACATTGGTTTTCTTACCCTGTAAGCAGTCTATGGACAAGGTATGACAGGAATACATGCTTTAGTTTCCCTGGCACTGTTTCCACATGCTCACGTTTTAGCATTTGTGGCACAAATCCCATTCAAGTCATTGGACCGATATGAGCATTTTTCACACATCATGTTCAAATCATCTGAAAGTATCTCAAATGTATTGTGAAGCTTAACAAAGTCACTTATAAATGATATGAACATGATGTGCAAAAAAAACGAATATCAATCCATGGGATGTGTGCCACAAATTCTAAAACGTTAGCATATGGAAACAGTGCCAGGGAAACTAAACCAAAGCATGGATTGCTGCCATACCTTGTCCATAGACTACTTACAGGGTAAGAAAACCAATATGTTATTTTGTAATGTGGGTGAACTATCTCTTTAATGCATAGGCCTATCTTTCCAATTCTGTGAAGAGGGTGCCTGCTTTCTAACTAAAATAACATTCTTTCAGTTTCTAAACCTTTCAGTTTCTAAAGCACTTTACTTTTACTGGTAGGCATGATTTAACATTGGCGGTTGGCGGTTGGTTTAGTAAATATATATTTCACAACAGCAGTAGTGCTAGACAGCCTATCCTGACTACTGCTCCGTCGGTTCACTCACCCTTCCCTTTAATTGTAATTTAAAGGGGGCAATAAAGCATGTCTATAAACCAAAGCAAGTGTAGCACATCGCTGCCAGGGCAAGGCTGTCATTACTCTAAAACAAATGCTCCTCTCAGGCCATATATTGCCATGCCAGCCTGCTAGCCTGCCAGGCAGCGACTGTATTGAGGAGTGCAGTGAAATCCCATAAGTTATCTTTGTATCTTTATGACGACGGCAGGCTCAGCTCAGTCACTGCAGGGTTATTTTGGTGATGTTAATAGGTGATGTATACTTGGGTGTTAGAGGCCTACAGAAGCTGGTGAGACAGGCTCCCTTAGTCCCACAGTTGCATCGTATTACTGTATATGGCACATAAATGGCACATATATGGCACATTTTATCAAATTAAGCTATCAATTATTATATCAGTGAAGGAATTAATAAAGGAATGGATGGATGATTCAATCAGTCAATCAATCATTCATCCATCCATCCATCCATCCATCCATCCATCCATCCATCCATCCATCAATGACAAATTCATGTCCATATCCGATAATAACCCTGTTTCCCCTGTCCCCAGGTCCTATCTGGATGGACAACGTGCGTTGTGACGGCACAGAGAAGACTGTGAAAGACTGTAAACATAACGGCTGGGGTGTCAATGATTGCAAGCACTCTGAGGACCTTGGTGTGGTCTGCAGTCCGGAGCGACGACTGGACCAGGTTACGGGGTCACGTAATGGTCAGTCGGTGGCCCTGCGTCCGGATGTCAGCGTCTCGCCTCAGTGGCTGAGCATCCTGGCCAGCCGCAGTAACCCCCGACAGGCCCATCAGGGGAACGGACACCCTCCAGAGAGGCCCAGCCTGAGACAGCACCTCTACAACCCGGTAGGTAGCATAACACCTTATACTCTCTATCCCTGCTACCTCTAGTAGTAAAGTAGGTGCTGTAGCCTGAGACAACATCTATACAACCTGGTAAGCAGCTACGGTGGACACCACCAACTCTATAACTCTGGTACTTGCTAATGTCTGGTATTTGTTGATCAACCACCGATACTGCCAATGCCAATCAATTAACCAATCAATCTATATATTTACTGTCCCAGTTGGGAAATTCCTTGCTTAAGTCATTTGAATTTTGAAAGTGTCATGGATCAAACTTTTTTACAGCAAAGTTTGAAGAAATCCCCTCCCCCCTTCTCTCTCAGTATTCCAGCAAGGTGCATATTCAGGAGGTGCGTCTGCGGCCCATCCTGATGCACACTAAGAAGCGGGCCCTGATCACTGAGGGCGTGGTGGAAGTGAAGCATGCTGGGAGATGGAGGCAGGTGTGTGACCTGGGCTGGAACCTCAACAGCAGCAAAGTGGTGTGTGGAATGCTGGGGTTCCCTGAGGCAGAACGACACAACGAAAGAACATACAAGTAAGTAAGCCCCTCCATTCAGCCCTCAGATCTGCAGATTCAGATTCAGAGTGTTTAATAGTCACATGTACAGGGTTGCAGGTGTGATTGCAGGGTACAGTGAAAATATTAGGCTATGAGCTCCAACATGCAGGACTAAGTGAAATAAAAGAATGAAAATGGAAATAAAACAATAGAAATAGAAATAGCACTACATACATCATAACAACTGTAGCAGTGATGAATAAATACATGTCCATTGGGGTGGAAGCAAATTAAAGACTGTTGAGGGTGTGGGGGAATGACCATAGCAAATAGTTGGAATGTGTACGGCAGGGTTGCCCAACCCTGTTCCTGGAGAGCTACCCTCCTGTAGGTTTTCGCTCCAACCCCAGGTGTTACTAACCTGATTCATCTTAGCAACCTGCTAATTATTAGAATCAGGTGTGCTAGATTAGGGTTGGAGCAAAAACCTACAGGACGGTAGCTCTCCAGGAACAGGGTTGGGCAGTCCTGGTGTACGGGGTGGTTTTCGGACAGGGCTGAGGTTTTGTCCGGATGTCCTCATGTGTATGGTATCCCTATTTGGAAGTCCTTCAGTTGTCAGACAAAACTCCCTCAGTTGTCAGACAAAACTCCCTCAGTTGTCACACAAAACTCCCTCAGTTGTCACACAAAACTCCCTCAGTTGTCACACAAGACGTCCTCAATTGTCAGAGGCTAGGTCTGTAAGGAAAGTGGCATAGAGAGACAGAGAGCTGAGAGTGATGACTCAAGTAGCGAAGTAAACTATAAAAATGGACGTTACACACGGCGTATCACATTTAACATACCAAACATTCAAAGAACGTTATAGAAAGTAAAGTAAAAACCCAAACCGGTCCGTTCATCAATACCTGTATATCATAAAATACGGTATACCGCCCAGCCCTACCTCCACTCACTCCTCTGACCCTGTGGAAAACAGTGGTATTAGGACGGTTTAGGACGGTTTAGGGAGGATAACCGAGGGAGGATCACACATTAGCACGACTATTTCTGTCCCATCATGAATGAAAGTACTGTCACGGTCGTCTATGTCGTCTAAGTATGACCAAGGCGCAGCGTGTCCAAGAAACATGACTTTATTAATTAAACGTTATAGAACTACAAAACAAAAGACGACTCAATGAAGTCCACGGTACACTGACCGAAACGGAACAAAAACCCACAATTCCCACAGGAAAACATTCAGATTAAATATGGCTCCCAATCACAGATAACGAGCCGACAGCTGACACTCGTTACCTCCGATTGGGAGTCATAGACCAAACCTAGAAATGAAGCCAACAGAAAAGCAAACATAGAAAATACACCCAAACCCAACATAACAAAATACACCCTGGCTCAAATACAAAAGTCCCGGAGCCAGAGTGTCACAGTACCCCCCCCCTAAAGGTGCGAACTCCGGGCGCACCAGCATACAGTCTAGGGGAGGGTCTGGGTGGGCGTCTGTCCCCGGTGGCGGTTCTGGCCCTGGTCGTGGTCCCCACCCCACCTTAGTCACTATCTGCTTCCGTAGCCTCCTCCACATGACCACCCCCCCCACTAAACCCCACTGGATTAAGGGGCGGCACCGGACTAAAGGGCAGCACCGGACTAAGGGGCAGCACCGGACTAAGGGGCAGTACCGGACTAAGGGGCAGCACCAGGATAAGGGGCAGCACCGGGCTAAGGGACAGCACCGGACTCAATGGCGGATCCTGGCTGGCTGGCTCTGGCGGATCCTGGCTGGACGGCTCATGGCTGGCTGAAGGATCTGGCTGCTCATGGCTGGCTGACGGATCTGGCTGCTCATGGCTGGCTGACGGATCTGGCTGCTCATGGCTGGCCGACGGATCTGGCTGCTCATGGCTGGCCGACGGATCTGGCTGCTCATGGCTGGCTGAAGGATCTGGCTGCTCATGGCTGGCTGACGGATCTGGCTGCTCATGGCTGGCTGACGGATCTGGCTGCTCATGGCTGGCCGACGGATCTGGCTGCTCATGGCTGGCCGACGGATCTGGCTGCTCATGGCTGGCTGAAGGATCTGGCTACTCATGGCTGGCTGACGGATCTGGATGCTCATGGCCGGCTGACGAATCTGGCTGCTCATGGCAGGCTGACGGATCTGGCTGCTCATGGCTGGCGGAAGGCTCTAGCTGATCCTGTCTGGCAGAAGGCTCTGGCTGATCCTGTCTGGCGGAAGGCTCTGGCTGATCCTGTCTGGCGGAAGGCTCTGGCTGATCCTGTCTGGCGGAAGGCTCTAGCGGCTCCTGTCTGGCGGAAGGCTTTAGCGGCTCCGGTCTGGCGGATGGCTCTGAAGGCTCATGGCAGACGGGCGGCTTTGCAGGCTCAGTACAGACGGGCAGTTCATGCAGCGCTTGGCAGACGGACAGTTCAGACGGCGTTGGGCAGACAGGCAGTTCAGGCGCCGTTGGGCAGACGGGCAGTTCAGGCGCCGTTGGGCAGACGGGCAGTTCAGGCGCCGTTGGGCAGACGGGCAGTTCAGGCGCCGTTGGGCAGACGGGCAGTTCAGGCGCCGTTGGGCAGACGGGCAGTTCAGGCGCCGTTGGGCAGACGGGCAGTTCAGGCGCCGTTGGGCAGACGGGCAGTTCAGGCGCCGTTGGGCAGACGGCAGACTCTGGCCGGCCGAGACGCACTATAGGCCTGGTGCGTGGTGCCGGAACTGGTGGTCCCGGGCTGAGGACACGCATCTCAGGGCTAGTGCGGGGAGCAGCAACAGGACGCACAGGACTCTGGGGACACACAGGAGGCTTGGTGCGTGGTGTAGGCACTGGTGGTACTGGGCTGGAGCGGGGAGGTGGCGCCGGAAATACCGGACCGTGCAGGCTTACTGGCTCCCTTGAGCACTGAGCCTGCCCAACCTTACCTGGTTGTATGCTCCCCGTCGCCCGACCAGTACGGGAAGGAGGAATAACCCGCACCGGGCTATGTAGGCGAACCGGGGACACCATGCGTAAGGCTGGTGCCATGTAAGCCGGCCCGAGGAGACGCACTGGTGGCCTGATGCGTTGGACCGGCTTCATGACATCCGGCTCAACGCTCAATCTAGCCCGGCCGATACGTGGAGCTGGAATGTACCGAACCGGGCTATGCCTGCGTACAGGAGACACCATGCGCTCTACTGCGTAACACGGTGTCTGCCCGTACTCTCGCTCTCCACGGTAAGTCCAGGGAGTAGGCGCAGGTCTCCTACCTGACTTCGCCACACTCCCTTTAAGCCCCCCCCCAAGAAATTTTTGGGTAGTACCCACGGGCTTCCAGCCTCGACTCCGTGCTGCCTCCTCATACCACCTCCTCTCGGCTTTAGCTGCCTCCAGCTCTTCACGAGGGCGGCGATATTCTCCCGGTTGTGCCCAAGGACCCTTTCCAGCCAGTATCTCCTCCCATGTCCATGAATCCTTTGGAGCTGGGTCCTGTTGCCGCTTGACACGCTGCTTGGTCCTCTTGGGGTGGGTTTTTCTGTCACGGTCGTCTATGTCGTCTAAGTATGACCAAGGCGCAGCGTGTCCAAGAAACATGACTTTATTAATTAAACGTTATAGAACTACAAAACAAAAGACGACTCAATGAAGTCCACGGTACACTGACCGAAACGGAACAAAAACCCACAATTCCCACAGGAAAACATTCAGATTAAATATGGCTCCCAATCAGAGATAACGAGCCGACAGCTGACACTCGTTACCTCCGATTGGGAGTCATAGACCAAACCTAGAAATGAAGCCAACAGAAAAGCAAACATAGAAAATACACCCAAACCCAACATAACAAAATACACCCTGGCTCAAATACAAAAGTCCCGGAGCCAGAGTGTCACAAGTACTCTGTCCAGACCTTCATGGACATCCTACTTTAATTATTTCCTACAGGTTTTGTCCCGTGTGACTCAAAGTTAAGTTCTCCTGAGTGGCGCAGTGGTCTAAGGCACTGCATCGCAGTGCTAGCTGTGCCACTAGAGATCCTGGTTTGAATCCAGGCTCTGTCGCAGCCGGCCGCGACCGGGAGACTCATGGGCAGCGCACAATTGGCCTAGCGTTGTCCAGGGTAGGGGAGGGAATGGCCGGCAGGGATGTAGCTCAGTTGATAGAGCATGGCGTTTGCAACGCCAGGGTTGTGGGTTCGATTCCCACGGGGGACCAGTATGAAAAAAAAAAAAAGGTATTCACTAACTGTAAGTCGCTCTGGATAAGAGCGTCTGCTAAATGACTTAAATGTAAATGTTAAGACATTCATTCTCCATTTGGGCTGCAGCTACTATAGCTAGCCCTGTGTGTGTGTGTGTGTGTGTGTGTGTGTGTGTGTGCGTACTTGTGCGTGTGACTGAACTGACCACAACATCTGTTCTATACTCCAAGTGTTAGATTCCTGTATCTGTTTAAAGAGAGAGCTACTGTTTTAGCCAGTTAATTTCCTCACTAGACCTTTTCCTGTCGTGCTACATTAAAGTGAGGGGAGTTTCAAGTCCGGATTGGTACATTTTCAGAGGTGATTCATTCCAATTAGATATTTAGCTCCATAATGCCACCCTAAAAGACAGAGGCCCCTGGGCTCATAGCCAGCACAGTGGAATTGTAAGGGAGAAGAAAGAGGACAAGGTTGGTGTAGCCTGAAGAACTTGGCCTGAAGAATTCACAGGCAGCTGACTTCTGTTGGCATCTTGTTTTAAAACCTGTGAGGTCAAGGGAACAGAAACAATGTTCAAAGAAAGAAGAATGAAAGAAAGGAAGAAAGAAAGATGGCAATAGAAGAAGAAGAAAAATCAAGTATGGAATAAATACATTTTTAAAAAGACTGAGAGGTGGATATATTCAGGAGCATTTGTTTGTTTGTTTTGACGAGGGCATGCAGTCCAATGTCTTGCCTATAGGCTTATTACTAAAACTGTATACTGTGTACTTATTATTATACAGGACATTT